AAATCGTGAAAGTTCAAACAAAGCATTTTTATGAGTAAGAACATGGTTAAAGAAGATGAAAAATATACCATGCTTACAAAATATGATTTCCACCAAATTGGAAATCATGAAGTTGTTTAGATTCAACAATGTTTCTTTACAAGAGCCACACCCACAATGTTAAATCTCTTGGGAGTCGAATTCATCCAAACCAAAAGCTCCATTAAGTGAATAAAAATGTTAAATCTCTTGTGATTTTGTTTTTATATAACTATTTATGTACTTCTATGACAATTGGTGCGATAAAAATGACAAATGTAACAAAAGAGAGTAGACCATAGTGTAAACGTGAACGTTCTTGTAGAAATCCATTTGTATATAATCCCTTTGAAATGAATGGATCCAATTGACAATGTTTTTATCACCCCAATAAAGATAAACAATTATTCTAACTACATAGTCATTATTAGAGCTAAACCAAATCACAATCCAAAAGAGCAGGTTAAAGTTGAAGTCAACATAAAGTTTTTTGCACAATAAGTTTTATGTTGTTACGATTTTCATTAATGTTGCTGGAGTTTATTGTTAAAACCTGTCATACTTAATACATGTAAATAATTTAAAAACTTATGCTTTTATTATTAATTAAAATTTAATTATGTTAGAATTTAGCAAAAAAAGTTTAAAGAAAAATTATGAGTTTATTACAAGTTTAGTTCCTCTAGGATATTTTTTTTCAGGCTTGGTTTAGAGACATTATGACCTTCTAAAAAAAATCGAGTAGTTAGCTTTAACAATACCATAACCACATCAAAATTAATAAAACCACAAGAAAAACCTATAACGAATACTAAACATGGAGAAATCCTGTTGGTTTGAGTGTACCAAACGGACAAAATTTATAATTTACTATTGAAAAATGGGGGTTGATTCGTAAACAACAATTTTTCTCCATTCATAAAAATTTGTATATTAAAATGTGGTATTGTATAACTCTATTAAACATAAGTTATTGTGTATGAAGAAAAAATATTGTGTACGAATCACTTCCTTTGAAAAATACTCCCCCCCCCCCCCCCCCCCTTTTCATGTTCTTCTCGCAACGAAATCGCTTCCCCTCACCAACAGTGAAGTACTTGTGTACAGAGAAAAGGTGAAGCCTCAATTGTCGATTCATCTCTATACTTCTCAATTCACAAATCATTAATGTTCGCTTACTAAGTTTTCCAATTCATTTTCTGTATGACCAAATTCTTATTGATATCATGAACTCACTCTATTTGTTTTTTTTATAAAATTCTAAACATGCTACAAAACACATAAATTTGGACTTGGAAGAAAAAGAAGACAGTAATTTAGCGTAGTTGAAAAAGAAGCATATACATAATTTTTCTATACTTATCTGTATGTATTAACATAGATATATTGTGTCGGGAAAATGATGCATATATGTTTAGCATTGTTGAAAAAGAAGCATATACAATTTTTTTTTTTATGTACATTTATTTGTGGATGCATTAACATAGATATATTGTGTTAGGAAAATTATGTATCTATGTTTTTATGTTTTTGTCTAGCATTGTTCTCCCACAAATTAGGATATGTAAAACAAAGAAGATAGGAATTTAGGGTTGTTTAAAATGAGGTATATATGTTGATGGTTGGTGAGGGTCTATGTTATGCATCACTTTTTCTGCTCCTAATGGTAGATATATTGTCAAATACATAATACATTATCACCTTTTTAAGGGAGGAAATGCTTAACACCAGGGGCGAACACAAGCACTATTACTAGGGGGTCGAAATTAAAACGTCAAAACAAAACCATATAGACAAAAAAATCGGTTCAAAATTATGGCATATCAAAATTCAAAACAAGAAAACTAATAATAAATATTGTTGCATCGCACTTCAAAGTGAAACTAGTCGATTTGTTGTATTTTTGAAATCTTACACAACTGTTTCTAAACTAATCTTTTCGGAAAGTTCCCTTTCAAAGTGCAAGACCAGTGATTCATTTAAATAATCATCTTCCATCTTATTATGTAACCTTTTGTTTCATAAGGTTAATGACTGAAAATGATATATTTTCTATAGTAGTGGAAACAAACTTGAAGAGTAAGTATGAGACTAGCTACTCAACAAATCAGATGAAAATCGGCTACTCTTCCGGTCTTTATCAATTGTAACACCCATTTTTTAGGTATAAGTTTTGGTGCTTTATAATGTTTTGGTTTGGGATTTTGCCCATCACTACGACATGGTGGGGCCTGCACCATGATGCAGTGGTTATTTAATGACCATTGTGTAGTGAGCTCCAATAATGGTGCGGTGGCGACTGGGGTTCAAAACCTAGATCTCGGGCCTTGGGGTCTATTTATAGGATGTGATTGTTAGGGTTCATCTACCCTTAGCCTTCATCACCTTCCTAAGTCCACAGAACAAACCCTAATCCCTTGTTTTCATTTTTTATCTCATTTTGGTGTTCTTGGTGGCCTTTGAAGAAATAAGGAGAGAAATATGGTGAAAGGAACCTCTTGTCAAGCTTAAAAAATCCCTTTGAGCAACTTCTGGACCGTTCTAAGTCCTCTTATCTAGATCTTTTTGGTTTGTTTATGGTAGAACTAAGGATCTAAGCTTTTTTGGTTCATTTGGCGGAGTTTGAGTTTTTGTTTCAATACAATTTGCAACTTTATGGATCAATGAAGTCCCAAATACATTATATGTCTCAAATATGGATTTCTATGTTGATTAGGTGCCATGCATGGGGTTTGGCTCCCATTTCTGATCATTTTGACCTAAGTTAGGGTAGGATATGCATTGGACATGCGTATCGATAAAGTTAGGATTTTTATTAATCTTTTGGATGTAAAAAAGCCTTCTAGAAAGTTAAAGTGGTTGACTTAACGTATTAAGCAATTAATAGAAGGATGGATTGGCCAGCATAACCGCAGCGTGGCCAGGTGCTGACCACGATGCAGTAAGCAAATCCATCGCAATTTGGATTGAGCAGACCATGGCATGGCCAAGGCCTTGCCACCACGCGGTAGTCTACAGAGTTGACTTTGGCCATTGACTTTTAATCAGGTTAACTTTTGGTTAATTTGATAGTTTTAGATAGTAGACTAAGGCTTGACCTATTGTTTCACTATACTATGTAGAATGCTAGATTATCTTTGTGACTCTTGCATGTATTTTAGGCGGGGCCTGTTATGTATGTTGGGCGGGAACCATTATGTATGTTGGACATGGCTCATTATGTACGTTGGATGGGGCCCGTTATGAATAATGGGTGGGCCATGTATTGGTAAGTGGTATCTTGGGATACTCACTAATCTTTGTGCTTACAGCTTAAAGTTTATTTGTTTCTGGTACTTCTAGTAGAAATGGTAAAGAGAAATATTGATAGAACATACATTTGAGTGGTTTTATCTGGACATAATGAGTGGATTTTCAACAGGGTTTTGGGGTGTAATTGGAGTTCTGTTGTTCAAGAAGCACTGGAGACGCAATCGTTTCATGTTTGTTGAGGAAACTATGGATAAGATATGTGTTGCAGTCATGGTAAGAGTTGCCAAGATAAAGAGAAGAAGAGAAGCAACATAGATCCTATGCAATGCAAGTAACTTTTGGGATATATGCTGTTATTTTGATTTACTTGTGTTTTTGTGGTTTATTAATGCTGATATTAGGATTTTATATATGTATGTCATTTGTAATATGGGTGCTATTTGTTTGTCTGAGTTTTGAAACTTTTGATGGATTTGGTTTAAGTATAATAAGATGAAGTTGTTATATTAGATTACTATGAAATTGATATTATTTGGAATTCATCAAATATATGAGTGGCAGGACTTAAATTGCAATACCCTCTCCCTCTCGTTCCCGCTCTCAACCTCCTTCATTCATCTACTGCTCTTCCACCAACCTGTTGCTGACTCTGTCAACTTTTATCTACGTTGCTCCTAATAAAAATCAGGAAACTAAATGATCTATATATTTTTCTTCATTTGTTTGGTTCTGCTTCAAACACTTGATCCCCTAATCATGGCATTGATGTGTTAATCTCATCTTTTGTTTCTTTATATGTTTCTATTTCCTTGTTTCCTCTTTAATTTTTAAATAAGTAATCCATCTTCATTACTTTTGTTTTGTATATATTTTTATTTAATGCAATTCTTAAATTAGATATAGATATGAAAGCGGATTTGTCTGTAAATCTTGATTTTTTACATCATTGTACTCATTTTGGAGGTGGGAGTTTAGGCATGAACGATACATACGAGGGAAGAGGAGCTCCTCAGGCAATGCAGAAGTTTACATGTCAATGGAAGCTAAGATAGAAGGTTATGCAAAGACAAGATGGAATTGGAAATGATGCAAGAAGTTATCAGAGTTACAACACAAACATCCCGGTTCCTAACACGAATCAGTATAAAAATTTTGTAAACGAAAAAACTCAAAAGCAGCAATGCATACAACATTTTCTTCGCCAATAACCACTTGAAAGTTCATTAAACATCCTCCCTAGACTTGATTTGATAAGTACCTGTAGATCGTGTTAGGAAAAGAAAAAAAAAAGAAAAAAAAAATTCAAACCTTGATTTTGAGATAGAACTGTTATCTCTTATTGTCTCTTGATAGATTTTGCATAAGGGTAGAGTGCATCAGAACAAGTTAAATTCATATTCCAAATTCATTTGAGAGATTACATTTTATGTCAACATTAGCTTTGAAACACCATAAAGTGGAATTGTTGCTTTATTGTGAGACAACA